TAGAGTTCCCCAGATGCACAAGAATATGCGTACTTAGTATTTCCGGTACTCAGACAAACTTGCCCTTGAGGAGGCATTTCAAGAGCAAATTTTCATTACGTCGAAAGTAACAAAGGTAAACAAATGCTCCTGCTATTACACTATATACTGTCCGAATATAGGATCACATCCTATTTTTAAATTTATTTACCAGTCAAACTACCGATCAAAATATTTTTCGATGTTACGTCACCCGATTTCTATGAAGATGTCGTTTGTCTTAAGTAACAGCGCAGAGAAACCCGTGAAAAGTGTACGTTCGTCGTTTCGCTTTCTCATTATTAAAGTGAATAAATCGAACTGTTTGTTGCTACAATGATTTCGGTGGTGCTAAAATGATGAATGGGCTGCACGTAAGGAGACGTCTCCCGAATATCCTGGTAAATACATTATGACTTAAACAACATTGGGGGGCCACCAAATATATCATAATTAACAATATGATCCAATAGATCAGAGCACGGTCCATACACAGAAATTCAAAACAACCCAAAATTAAGTTCTTTTCACTCATCTCCCATGTTCCGTACGATAAGCCAAATTTGGGTAAACCGGCTCAAAGTAGTTTGCATTTAAGCACGGCAAAAAAAATTACCCATCGCTAAGTTATTTTCAATTTTTTCTACCCAAAATTAAGTTCAATTAACTCAAATTTGGGTATATCGCATATTACTCAATTTTGGCTTCTTGTACGGAACTAGACGGTTGAGTCGAATCTTTCGTTCTATTTTTGACAACAATAGCGAGAGGAAATGAAACGGACAGAGGTCAAATAACTCAAATTTGAGTTTAAAAAACCCAAGCGGTGGGTAGTTTTGTTTTTCTGTGTAACCTCACTTTTTGCTCCCTATCATTTTGCTTCTGAGTAAAAGAGATAGCAACGAATGCGAGCCAAAATAAACCACCCAAAACTGTCAAAACTTACGGGTGAGAGAAGAGTGCGGCAAATCTTCGTGAACTGATCAATCACCCAATCATGCCTTTTCCAAATATTGCAATGGCGACCCGCAAAATATTGCTTCACGCACCATCTACACTCAAAAATATTACAAAACCAATATTGATTAAATTTTATGCATTCTATTATTAATCAAAATTTATACAGTGGTCCGATTAATATTTTCTTCAAAACTATACTAAGTCCGATTATCGGAGTGGAATTCGATCAGTGTATAATAAAACAATAAAAAATGACAATGTCAAACACGATGGCACTCGTAGTCGTTTTTCAGTTCACGTTGAAGGTGATCCCTAATAAAAAATAACCATAAACGAACGATAACCCAAATCATTGAAATATTCCACAAATGGTTTGGATGATACCCAGAACACGTCGTTAAGCAAATTAACCATACAATTATTATTAGGGATAACGTTCTCAATTGGTCCTGCAAACATCATCCGCTCATTGATCGAAAGAAGCATATAAGACTACCGGAAGTGGAATCAGGGCCTGCCATCAATGGCAACCCTGTATCGATTAGCCAATAAACTGCTGATGCACAGTAATTTCTTCTATCTGTTCGACTTAACGGCCAAAGCGTTGAATATAACAATTCCGGTGGACTCAAGTTTTAGCTGCTTATCAAAGATCAAAACGTCGGGTAATGATAAACTTGGGTTTCGATAATGATAATTTTATGGTACTGCTTTTGCTTTAATTAAAACTTTAATTTTTATTGGAAAACAATTATATGATTATATTAAGCATTAAACGAAAAAGAAGCAGAAAATACATTCCCTCGAATGGATCAATGAAAATGCTGAGTTTTTGACAGAACTATGCTGTGGCTACCACAGTATTTTACATTTGATTGTCCATATACAGTAGCGCCAAAAGCATGCTGTGGTGGTTTCAAAACTTGACCATCTAAAATGATCAATTAACCGTATGTACACTCAAAGATAAATTAAATGAAAAAAGCTTAAAAAGTATGCAGTTTCCCGCTTCACCTTATTGAGTCCGAGCCATGATTACTTCGGCAGTAGTCATGCATGATTAAAATCGAAATATGCTTTCCAGTGTTAAATTTTATTCTTTTTCAATACTGATATATAATAAAAAAAGATTAAAATTAATTCAAAAATTATTAAAATAGAATCAAAAATGATTCAAATTTATTCAAAAAAAGATAATCTACAATCTAATCAACCATGATTACACTGGGATCAATATTAGATGCTTATTTTTTAGAATGAGAGGATTAATTTTTAATCATTCGATATGATTAAACTGAGTTTAATGTCAAACTGATTAAATTTCAAGCAAAATAGGAATAATTCAAATCGGTGTATGCATTGCAAGCATATCAGTGCCAACATTTCAAAGGGGCGTTATTGCTTTGTAAACAATGACTTTAGCCATCAATTTCTCGCGAATGAAATCTTACCTCTTCAAAATAACAATGCTAGCTGGTAGAGGAAACATTCCTCTACCTAATGGTGTCATTATTTTTCATGAGTGAGCTTTTATTCGCGAGAAATCGATGGCTAAAGCCATTGTTTACAAATGCAATTACGCCCCTTTGAAATGTTGGCACTGATATTTCGATTTTATACTATGGCAGGTATAAATCATTTTTATACTAAGGCTGTGGTCCATTTGGTGAATTTTCACTTAAATTTGACACTTCGAAACTAAATTATAATGTTCGAAAATCCCTCTGTTGTTGATCGGCCAATTTTCGAGAAGGTGTGTGTCAAAATTGATTCCTGGTCTGTCAGATATAAGTCTGCTGGAATAGCAGGCTAATTTGGAAATTTTCCATCTGTCAAGTTTAAGTGAAAATTCGCCAAATGGAACACAGCCTAAGTCTGTATTCTCTCCCTTTATACCGAGGGGGGCGACACATCTAAATCTCAATTCTAGATGCTCAAAAAATCTCACACTATCGAATAAATCTTCGAAAAATCTTCTTTCATTTCTCTCATCTACTTGCATCGTGCATCATCTTTTTGCAGGAAATCTTCAAAATCGTGATAAATCTTCTTTCTATCTATACTCAGCGTATGCGCAGCTAGCCACAGCAAAGCACAATATTTCCTGCATCGTAGATAGAGTCGTCCTCCTCGCTTTATATCGACCTTTGCGTCGGCATGGAGAGTTGCGATTTAGCGTAACTTTTATACTATTTAGCTTCCAATATTTTTTGAGTGTAGCTTTGAAAAAGGTCAGCAACAATCATTCAATTACAATCGAGGGGTGAGAATATAGCACTTATTACAAAAGTAAGAGTCACATTGTTTTCATTAATTACATTGTGTATATTACTTTATTTTTTTCTGACATGTCTGTTGTCAACAAATAAAATAATATGCTGAAATATGCATTTGAAATATAAATCAAATTTTCATTTGGTTTATCCCTCGTGACGATAAACAAATACATTGGTATCTTTTTTGGCCACAGAGGTGCTTTCATCGCTAAAAATTTGGTTCGCCAGTTAAGCGAATGAGTGGATCATATTGTTAATATAATATATTTGGGGCCACCAAACGAAGTATACACACCAAAATTCTTAAATCTTGTTCGGTACTTTTTGCTGGATTTGGTCGGTGAAATATACTTTTTACCGAATGCTTTGTAATCAATATTATTTTACCAATTTTCCGCAATCATAAGTGCTGAATTCCCGTAATTTGCAGAAATTTACCGAAAACTGCAAATCAAATTTGCTGATTGAAACTGTAAATGGTTGCGATTCCGCAATTCTGTAAAAATTGTAACGAATGTACTGTAAAAATAATCTTTTACAAAAAAAACTGCAATAAAGTACAGCATTTCCGTACAACTTACTGAACAGATTTGTAAACTTTGTACTGTCAAACACAACCTTTGCTGCCATTTCGATGTTGAGTGTTCTTCGGTTTTATGTTGTGGAATGTAAGTACTTTACTTTTTTTGCTAGATTGTGTTAAATTTACACCGAAAATTTAATTAGTTTTCATTTTTGGGTCAATGTATTTCAGACGCCATGGACGTTAGGCAACTTAATATCCTCCTCAAAAGTGCTGATTTCGGCTCAAAAGTCCACTGTTTGCTGAATCCGGCTTCATTACTGTTTTTTATTATGTTTGTACGAACGCAAAAATATATATGGTAAATAGACTATATAACGTAAACAGTCGTATGAATTTTTGGGTTGGTGAATGAAAGAAACAAATCATTAATCAATAAAAATTCTAATTATTATGATTTATTCTGAAAAAAAAGTACAGTAGATTCGGTAAAACATATACTGAACGCTATGGTAAACTTTACTGATCGTTAAGTAAAATTTACAGTCCGCAGGTCAGTAAATTTTGACAGCCCATAAGCGAAGAAAATTTACCGAACGGATTGTAAATTGAAAAATTACCGAATGGATTACCGAAAGTTCAGCTGTTCCATATTCGGTAAAAATTTACAGTATACTGTAAAAAAATCTTAGTGTGTAATAACTTTTGACTCATAAACCAGTATTTTTTTAGCATGAAAGCTAGTGATCTGCTTTATAAAGGTAATATAATATAATAATAATAATAAAGGTCATATATGATTAAAACTCTGCTTAATATGTTAAACATGGCTATCACTATGAGATTATTTGTGTTTAATTGGAAAAAAGGAATAACTTTTCGGTCATCAAAACAAAACTTTATTTTTATCGGATCGGTGCGAATGTTACTTTCGACATAATGAAAATTTGCTCTTGATTTATTCTGCCTGGAAAAAGTGTCGACCTAATACCACAGACAGACATACAAATTAGTACCGTTGTACTCCTTTAATCAAGTACCTCAAAACGTACAATTTGTGGTACTAGCTTAAAGCAGTACAACGGTAGTACAACAGTGAACTTTGTATGTCTGTACAAGGTATAATCGAGAAAAAAAATGATCATGGTTTCTCAACGATCCCCATTTGTTTATTTCTTCAAAGGGCTCACTTATCGCCTTTTGTCAACAACGGAATCAAACCAGACGCGTTTTTGATTTTTGCTCAAATCTACGAAAGTTTTACGATTATTTCTTATGATTTTGCAAGAAGTGTGAATGCCATCATTCCAGTTTCTGTTTGATCGAAGTGCTACGCATCTACTACTTCTTGCGAAATGGTTGTGTTCAATCTGTCCACATTCCCCGAAGTGTGCCGCCTTTGTTTACAGTCGAAGCATCCGGACGAGCTCGTCTCAGTGGAAACCATCCGTCCGTTGTTTGATCGCAAGCTGAGCGACCTGTTGGAGGGCTTGACCTTCAAGGTTCCTGCGGTAAGACTGGCGCGACACATTATAATTTCCAAATTCAAGTAATTGAAAATGTCCCTTCCAGGATGTGCTTCCTTATTTCCCATCGGAGGTGTGCTTGATGTGCTTGGAAGTGTTCGATTTCTTCTACAAGTACAAGCAGAAGATGAACTACATCCATCGTTTTCTGGTGGCATTCGCCGAGGTTAAACTAGGAAACGATCAATCCTTGGTTAAGCTGTTCAATGACCACAATGAATATTTTTCGATATTGTTCAAAGATCTGGATCTTTGCAACAAGGATGAACTGCTCGTCGAAGACATACTGGAAGAGTATCCCCAGTATAAGATCGCTTCGATGCCTGTTGTGAAACGGGAGGCTAGTCCGGAGTTAGTTTCGGAAACGGCAGAGCCTCCTGACGATTACGAATATCATGTTGAAGTTTTAGAAGAACAGGACGATAAAGCGAAGGGTGCGTTTCTGGTGGAGAGGTTGCTGGAGGAGCTCGGACAGGTTAAGCAGAATGAAGCCGGGGAAAAATTGGTGGAAATAAAGGCTGAACCGGTTAGACTGTTGCGGAATGCCCCGGAAGCGTCGGAACCTGGAGTCGAAGAAGTACCGTACTGTGATTCGGAACACTTGGAAGATTATTCGGACGATTTTCAGGAAGGTACTCTGGAGATCGATACCAATGATGAAGAAATGGAGGATCTTCCTGCAAATGAGGAGGATGTTGCAAGTGAAGCTCTGACGAGTGCGGAATCCAAGAACGAAAAAGAATCATACAGCTGTGGGAAGTGTAAATACAAGACTGTCTTCAAGGAAGCACTTACAGTGCACGAGAAACGCCACGAACAAAACGATCACTTGGAAGGAATTCACTGTTCCCATCCATCCTGTCTTAAGGTTTTCCCCAGCAAGGCAGAGTACCAGAAGCATCTGAAGCAAGGAGTCCACAAGCAGCATGTTTGCGACATTTGTGGGGCGTCCCTTAAGCATAAGTACTCGCTGGAAGTGCACCTATCAAGGCATGCTGGAGTTACTCAGTTCCAGTGTACCTATTGCTCTTCTTCGTTCTACACCAAGACGGAACTGCGGAATCACATGCGATCGATTCACACTACCGGCGAGCGGTGGGAATGCAGCAAGTGTAAATCTGTCTTCAAAAACCGAAAGCTCCTGAACCAGCACCTGGAATCGCACGTGGAAGAACGCAATTTCAAATGCACCGTATGTGATTTTGCCTTCAAAACAATGCAGCATCTGAAACGGCACATCACTACCGTGCACAAGGAAGTACGATTTCACTGCGAGCACTGTTCGATGTCCTACGGACGGAAGGACAAGCTGCGGATGCATATGGAGCGCGCCCATAATGTAAGTTTCCAGGAATAACTGTCTTAAATTCAATCGATCATTCAAAATTTCCCCGTATCTTGTTAGATCCAATCCTACTTCATCTGTGACATCTGCGTGCGAACGTTCAACAATGGTACGGCACTGGCCGAGCACAAGACCCACCACGCCAACCCAAAGCCGCTTGAATGTCCCGTCTGTTTGCTGGCATTCGAGAACAAACGGGCCTTCGAGGGTCATCTCTGCATCACCTACCGGGAGGATTACGTCTGCTGTGAGCGGGATTTCAAATTCCATGTGCACTATAATCGGCACATGCTGACGGAACATGGCGTCAAATCGAATGCCCGGGTGAAGCCAACGAGCGGAGTGCTGATGGGGCAGCTGAGAGCCGGTCGGCGGAAGAAGACGGTTCAGTGCCGGATGTGTAGGAAGGTGTGCCCGACGATGGTGGAGAGGAGGAAGCATGAGGCGGGATGTGCGGAGAAGCGAGATAAGGTTGGCCTGGTGGAAGGGAGTAGTGATGGATCGATGCCACCGATAGAAGAGATGGGCGAGGAAGAGCATCTGGAGCAGGAGGAGGAGGAGGAGGAGGAGATGGTTGATGAAGAGCCGGACTTCATTATTGATGAGGATGTTGAAGAGCCGGTTGGAGAGTTCTGAGGTGACAATCGGAGTGTTGATGTTTCATGAATATAACTGTTAAGTGAGGGCTGGTTGGAGTGCTTACTGGATGACATCCCCTAGTGTGTAATGTTGCTAACCTACCAAGAATGAGCATGCAGTGTACGATTCTGGTGAGTATTCATTTCATATTTTTAGACAGGACAGGACAGGAAAGTAGTAGGAGATAATGTTTTTCACTAAAACATGCCCTTTCGGTCTCAAAATAGGTTTTCGGCTTTTCGGATTTAAACATCAAGTATTGATTTTTGTTTGAATTAAATTTTACCTCCACTTTATTGTCCACGTGAGAAATCTTCTCCGTTTATTCGAACACTTTCAAATCGTTTTCGTTCGACCGCAGTCGCTAACTAGCTGCTGTGCGTTCCGGGCACACTTTCCCTTTCGGCACTACCATCAATTCACAATTCAAATAAATAAATAAATAATTAAATAACCTAGCAATTAAACAAACACTCTTCTACTCCGTTTAGCACTGCACAATTTAACAAAACTAATAGCTAATGACAACAATGTTCTACATTCCGTGGGCTGGCTCTACTACTGTTTAGTGGGGAATGTGCTGGTGGGGGTGGGTATCGGAAGGTAACCCGAAGAATGGCTCTTCTAAAATTTGTACATATGAATGAAGCGGTATGAAGCGATGAATGAAATGAGATGAGTGATGCAGGAGACTTGGGAATACATAGTTGTTAGAATCAAGTAGAGTAGAAGAAGAGTACAAAACAAGTGGGCCTTCAGGGACACAGGGAAGTCACCGGTTAGGCATATGGCCGCTGCTGGTGGTACGCCATGCTGTGCGGGTCGTACGGATAGTGGCTAGGACTGTTGGGCGTCTGCTGCTGGACATAGTGAGGATGTTGCGGCTGCTGCTGCTGCTGCGGCTGCGGATAGGCTCGGTGGGCCGCGTATTCGTCATCGACACGATCGTTCCGGTCGTAGAAGCCATTGCTGCTACTGGTACTGTCGTCGTCGTGCACTCCGTGGAGGGAACGCTTCCAGTAGCCACCGTAGTCATCGCCATGTTCGTCGTAGTGATGCTGATGCTGGGCGTGCTCGTAGTAGATTACCTGTAATTCAGATGAATGTCCTTCAGTAGATTTAGGCATGAAGGCTGAAATGGGAAGGATTATGGGGCCTATCTGATTGGCAGTACTTTTTGCGGTGACGGGTGTTTCTTGAGGTCGATCCAGAAGCGGGCAATGTTGATCAGCAAACCGATGGCGGCGATGGCGAAAAACTTGAGCTGCAGGTGGAACGACAGGACCTTCAGCAGGAGTTCGATCTTGCCCTTCAAGGCGGCTCCCAGGATGAACAGCTTCATGAAGGTCTTCTTCTTCTTACCCTTGCGTTTGCCTGTTTTGTTGTTTGTTTTTGTTTTGGGAATTTGGTTATTTAAAATAAAATGCGATGGGAAAAAGAGATAATTGAAACTATATTATTAAGACGCACACCGTAAGGCGCTGTGGTTAGGTTAGCTCCAAACAAATTGGTTAACAGGGTTAGCTTTGGTCTTCTACGGCGGATGAAGGAATCTTCGTTAGTGGGACAATGATTAGAATAAGCACACAAAAAGCGTTACGGCTTGGGGGGTTATACTTGATCATGCAGAATGAGAGGTTTGCAAAATCTGAAATGACGTAAGGTGCACGCAATTAACTAAATGGGTTATTGGAATCAGGGTTAGTTTTTCCATGCCTTTGTAGGGATGATGAAAACATGATTTATCTGGAGTCGAATTAATGGTCATGCCAAAAACTTTCATGAAATGAGAAATTAATTCGATGATTGATGATTTTATGACAACCACGAGATTACGAATGGATCTGTTCAGTGATGAATGTTACAAACATGCACACGAAGACTTTCCATGCCTTAAGAATGCAACACAAAAATACAAAGAAGCAAGCCTGCAGCTTGAAGGTGACCACTTTTATCGTTTGTTCGTTTTCTTATGTTTGTAAATCATGCCTTACTCGCTAAGTGCTCGTCCGCTCAGTTACGTAACGTTTCTTCTTATGTATTTTTATCGGTGGCTTATGCATTGCCCCCAGATATCAACAAGTCTCCCTAACTCGGTGGAAACTCAGGCTACTTAGACCACATTTCTGATAACAAATTCTTTCATTCTATACTAACGTTTGAAGAGGACCGAAAAGCCAGAATGTAAACAAACCATATTTTGCTACATATAGAGATTTCAAATCATCAACAATGTTTTCTTTTACGCATCTTTAAATATTCATGATATTTGAAAAATTAGATCTCCAAAATGATCTACACTGAACCAAAACATCCGCAATACTTCGAATGATTATTGCATTGATCGAGCCCTTTAACAATATGCATTCGAATTTCGGATGATTTTCTTATGGTTGAATTCGTCGTCAGATGATGAACATCCATATGACTGTCATTCAAATACAGGATGATTTTCGTTTGAAAATTAGCTATAAAACATACGGTACTCAGAGGACAAACATTTAAGAATAGTGTGACATGCAAGTGCTTTTATTTAGATTTATAATTTGATTATCTACATTTCTATACTGAATAGCCATAATAAGCCATTCCATTATGGATACAAAATTTTTTCGTGGTGAAGGAAATCTCCACCACGAATGAGCCAACCATTGGTTTTCATCCTTTACCTATGTTCGAAACAGCTCTGATAGCGATGCATATGCTTCCACCTCGTTTGTCAGCTCAGATCAGCAAATGATATTCGATAGAATTACTAACATCATCGTTTTGAATGATTTGCGTTATGGGGCTGAACCAATACCATATGCATTTCCATTTAGTATGACAGTCATTCTGCAGAGAGCATTACGCATTTCAACTGAAGGCCCTATCCCTTCTCATAACAATTTTCATCCTGTATTCTAGAGGAAAATCATCTGATTTCAAAACAACCGTCATCCGTTGCAGGTATCATTCGAAAAAGCGATTTCGGTGATTTGTTTTGAATGGTCTGAGGTTTCATTCGATCAGAGGATGATGTTTGTGTACAGTGTACCTAGCCATTTAGCCACCGCGTGACTTTTGATGACACACAGTGTATCTGACAATTGAGCATACATCGAGGGGGGCGACACATCTAAATCTCAAGTTTAGATGGTCAACAAATCTCACACTAGCGAATCAATCTTCGAACAATCTTCTTTCATTTGCCGCATCTATTTGCATCGCTCATCAATTTTTTGCAGGAAATCTTCAGAATCGTCATCAATCTTCTTTCTATCTACTCAGCGTGCGCGCAGCTAGCCACAGTAAAACACAATCTTTTTTGCATTGTAGATAGAGTCGCCCCCCTCGGCATACATCTGTATTTAAATTTAAGTAAAACACCTGTATGAGCACTATTTACAACAGATGAATTTCTGAATTTTTGGCTACTGGCTCATCAAACACTTATCGGTTATCGGTATGGTATTGGGCTTATTTGGTTGAGTGTGTAAAAAGCAGTGATGGGCAAAACACCGGTACAGCACCGGTAAGGATTTCAAAATCATAACCTATGTGCTGATCTGTTGTACCGAGTGTTTGGTGCTGCTGTCGGTTCGGTTTGGTAGTAGCAAGCAAAACTTGAACCACTATCAAATACCTTTCAATATGGGTATTTCCGGAAACAGGGTGACGTCTTGAGATCGGATATCAACATCAGACGTCATTTTGAAATCCAAGATGGCGGCTTCCTGTTGAAGAAAAAACTGGGAAATAATGTCAAATATCCTTCAATATGGGATGTTTTGGAATCAGAATGACGTATATATGCCGGAAATGTATGTCTGACGCCATTTTAAAGCCGGAAGCCGCCATATTGGATTTCAAGATGGCGTCTGACATTGATATCCGGTCTATATACGTTATCCCGATTCCGAAAATACCCGTATTGAAGTGTATTTGACAGTATTTCCCAGTTTTTCTGCAACCGGAAACCGCCATATTGGATTTAAAGATGGCGTCTGACATTGATTTCCGGTCTATATTATAGTCGCTATATTCATAGTCTGGCGGATAGGATCTCGGGAACCAATTGAGCTGTCAAAGAGCGGAACCAATCGAGCAAATCACGACCAACAACAGAAAAGAGCACATCCGCTATTGCGAACAAAACTTCGGAAACCGTTTTATCGTGATTCAAGGCTCGCCTACGCAAACTAACACTATCTTTAGGTTGGGGAAAGATTCCCCTATCCGATGATGCCGGTAATTTGCGTTCGATTCTCGAGGAAAGAATAATCAACGTTTTGTTTATAAAAGTTGATAGGACCTTTTCCATTGTTGGTCTACAATATATTTAATTGGTTCCGCTTTTTGATAGATTGTAATTCTATCCGCCAGACTATGAATATAGCGACTATAGTCTATATTGGTCATCCCGATTCCGAAAATATCCATATTGAACGGTATTTGACAGTATTTCCCAGTTTTTTCTATAACCGGAAACTGCCATCTTGGATTTCAAAATGGCGTCAGATATTAATTTCCACCCAACAAACAATTGCCTATTGAAGAAACGACTTCTTGACGATTTTATTCCACTTCATGCTTAATAATACTTGTACTATTTTTAATAATAACTTCTGTTCAGGCTTTGTTCACACAAATCTGGAGAATTTATTCAACCACAACATCGAAATATTTGGTGTTGAATAAGGTATGTCGAGAAGCTTTTATTCGACTTACAAAAGTTGTAACAGAGCTTATTCGATCAAAGTTTTGATTATTCAGCGTTTATTAGACCATCTGTACTTCCTTAAACAGCGATGGTAAGGTATATATTATTATAGACGCTTGATTCTCATGTGAAATAATGTTTAATTATTACATCATTATACATTTATTAAACGATTATTCAACTACGGGATAATTAATCCGAAAATAAGAATGGCCGGAGCAGGGTTGTTTTCCGTTAGTGATTGTTGTGTCATTATTTCTGTCGAACTTATTACATACAAACATACATACACACACATGTCGTTAAATGGGATTCGAACCATGACCTTCCGATCACCAGCCGCTTGCCTTGCCATCTGAGCTATCCTAGAATACATCATATGAGCAGCTAAATAAGCAATAAAAGCTTGAATCTGAAAACCTATCAGCACTTCCAGCCGTAGCTCTAGCTAATTCAAGGAGATGTGAGAATGATTAATTCATTCATAGTTGTTTAACATTAGACCAACGTTACCTCTCCATCTATCTAATTTCGATGGAAAGGATGCTATTCTTTTCTATAAATCTATGAATTGGTTGTCGTGAGTGATACGATTTATGATTACGATTTAAATTAATTAGGAGTAGAACATAAATAAAAAAAGGGTTGAGGCTGGGATTGAACTCGCGACCTTCTACTTGGAAAGCGGAAACGGTAACCACTATGCTACCAATTTCGTTGTGTTGTTAGCCTGAAGAACTGTTGTGGAATAATGAATGAATACGCCGTTTGTAAAGCATTTATAAAGCATGCAATTAAAACATGGACGCATAGTGGTATAAGAGCTATTATGCTGACTGTATTCACCTTTATTCAGCAATAAAGTTAAGCAATGCAATGGAATCTAATAATGGAGCTAGAAAATAACTATTGGACTATAATAAAGCATGCTATTAAATCAATTGAAAACAGTCGAAGTAAAGCGTCAATGTATGTGCAAATTACACTTATTCAGTATGTTATTAGATCAAACTTCTGGTGTTGAATCAGGAAGACAGTCATCGTTTGTATAGATTTTAATGAGTATATTAATCAAATCAGAGCAATCTGCGAAATAAAGGCGCATCTCGATCTCAATGAGGTTTTCTGAGCACATAATTTGACAACCCGTTTTATTCAGCATTGTACACTGTTATAAAGCATTTATTCAATCTATATGCTTATTTGTGACTCTGAATTGTTTTTGGGCAGTGATGTGGAATAATGAATCTAATACGTCTTTTATAAAGCATTTACAAATCATTCAACTAAAACATGGACGCATAGTGGTATAAAAGCTATTTTGCTGACTGTATTCACCTTTAAACAGCAATATTGTAAAGCAATGCAATGAAATCTAATAATGGAGCTAGAAAACATTTATAAGACGTCTAAATATAGCATTTTATTAAAGCAATTGAAAACAGTCGAATTAAAGCGACAATGTATGTGAAAATTACACTTATTCAGTTTGTTATTAGATCAAACTTCTGGCTCTGAATCAGGAAGACAGTCAACGTTTATAAAGCTTTTAATAAGTAAATTAATCATATCAGAGCAAACGGCGGAATAAAGGCGCATCTATCGATCTCAATGAGCTTTTTTCAGCACATAATTCGACATCTTGTTTTATTCAGCATTGTACACTGTTATACAGCATTTATTCAATGGGTATGCTTATTTGTGACTGTGAATTGTTTGTTGGGCAGTCTCTAGACATCATCCCGATTCCGAAAATACCCATATTGAAGGGTATTTGACAGTATTTTCCAGTTTTTCTGTAACCGGATGCCGCCGTATTGGATTTCAAGATGGCGTCTGACATTGATATCCGGTCTATATACCCGTATTGAAGGGTATTTGACAGTATTTCCCAGTTTTCTGCAACTGGAAGCCACCATATTGGATTTCAAGATGGCGTCTGATATTGATATCCGGTCTTTATACGTCAACCCGATTCCAAAAATACCCATATTGAAGGGTATTTGACAGTATATCCCAGTTTATATATAACGGGAAGCTACCATCTTGGATTTCAAAATGGCGTCATATATTGATTTCCAGTCTCTAAACATCACCCCGATTCCGAAAATACCCATTTTGGAGGGTATTTGACAGTATTTCTCGGTTTTCCTACATCCTGAAGCCGCCATCTTGGATTTCAAGATGGCGTCTGACATTGATTTCCGTTCTTTATACGTCATCCCGATTCCAAAAATACCCATATTGAAATAATTTCCCAGTTTTTCTATAACCGGAAGTCGCCATATTTGATTTAAAAATGGTGTCTGACATTGATATTCGGTCTCTAAACGTCACCCCGATTCCAAAAATACCCATATTGAAGGGTATTTGCTAGTATTTCCTAGTTTTCCTACAACCAGAAGCCGCCATATTGGATTTCAAGATGGTATCGGTTATCGATTTCCTGACTATAGGCGTCACCCGGAATCCAAAAATACCCATATCTAAGGGTATTTGTCAGACTTCAAAACGATTTCCAGTTCCTTCGCTACCAATATTGTCTATCAAAATATTTGACAGTTGAATTAAAAACTGTCGCTTGGTACAAACATTTTACTCGCCTTTTTGGGAACATTGCTATTTAATTCTTACCAATGTTCTGAACCAAGAACGGTTCAGATTTCGTGAACCAAAACCAAAATTCTAGCACACTGGTTTTCGGTTTTCAAGCTGCGGTTCTGAACATCAACTCGAAAACCGGCAATGAACCAAACTTTTTGAATATTTGTTCATTTGTAGTCACAATCTCGGTCACAATAAAGATCTTTCATATGTCGCCCACTTATTTTGCGACAACATTTTTCTCAGTGTGCCTCAGCGTGCCGCAGCTGTACCGGCAGTGCCAAGAAGTCATTGAACTAATAATGCCTTGTTTGGCAACCCGGTATTTCAACAGCTCTTGTGTTTGTTTTGTTTTCCAATGTTTTCAAAAACGACACGGACTCCAGTTGGGACTACACACTGGATGCATCCGTGTCCAAGGATGCCTGCAACGGACGAGCTCCGTTGCTACACGATCCTTCCATCTTCGGCGGAAGGCTGACCCCGCATATCGAGCGTCAATAATTCGTCAACCAGCCCTTCTGGAAGCCGGCGGAGGAAACGGATTTGCACCGAATTTTTCACCGCCCGAGTATCATCCGTTGAAAAACTGGAAACCAAAATCGGTCGGAACACACGTCGGACTGATGAAGGACGCACCGCAGACCCGAAACGGACCAGCCAACTTCATTCAACCGGCACAGCAACAGGGTGCAGTCATGATGGTCTACGGACTCGATAACAACACAGCCAACACCGATAAGCTGTTCAATCTGTTCTGCTTAGGCCGAAGTAGTTCTCTACCCTATTTGGTTTCACTCAGAGTTGTCCAAAATTGAGTCTTCAAATACCTACTACCGATACGGTTAAAAAAGTAGTCATTGTACCGTGATGCTGAAGCAGACGACAGTCGCTCAAATTAAAAGTCACTTGAAGTAAACCGAAGACTTCAAATCAAGATGACTGGCAACTGTTCCCTTCTCCTATACAAATATCAAACGTCACTGATAACAGCGCCTCTGTCAATAAAAGGTGGAACTGTGAAGCACAAGTGTTAGTGAGACTGCTCATAAACAGTGACTGTGTGTGTGACCTAATGTCACCGAAACGAATAATAATAACACGGTACTCGTTGTTGTTTTTGTTTTGCTCTACAACATTTCACGGCAATTTGTATCCTAATCCCAGCAAGCCGGTGGTTTCCCAACTCCAAACCGAAAAACTTGTCATGGTGGATCAAGTAGAGCAGAGGATTGAAACTCGGATCGATCTAGTGAAAGTAAGTTTTGCTTGTGAACGAGGAACCGAAATATTGTTTGTTTTGCCTGTTGGAAGCAATCAATTATAAGGATTTGGCAGCTTCCACCACCATTGAGTGAACTACCGTCATTCGAAAGCTGCTGAAAATTCAAGGATTCTAAAAGAAGAAAGCGCAGTAGGCTCAAATGTTGGAGAAAATGAAAATGAAAGGTTGAAGGGCTACAATCCCAAACGGTACGTATCGATAAAGAATATATTTCCATTTTAGATGTTGTCAGAACATGTAACCAGTGGATAGTGATCCTCTGTATGCGTTAACAATTCTTGGAATTGGCCGAACTCCTTCCAGATAATGATAACAACAGTGTCGGATTGGCCAGTGACATTCAAATAGTCAGCGAGTACTTACTGTGCCAAGTTGCCGAGCGTCACAACTTAACTCCACCCGCTGTGGCCAGATGCCAAGGCCGTGCGGAATGGGCATGCATTTTACTAATGCACCATAAGAAGCCCATAAATGCATCACTAAAGGGCTTAGAGAAAGTGGAAGATAATTCTGAGATAACATATTAATGATCGAGGAAGGTCCCACCATCATTGTAAATGGCATCATTGGCATAATTTTAATTTTAAAAACAAGTTTAATTACGCATCTGTTCAGTTTCAGCTGGAATTTTACTCGTTGTAAGCATAAAGCAAAGAAAAAAAAATGTTTAACTTTTTACGACAACCATAACAAAACCAATAATTGACATTCCCTAAAGTAGAGGCGTTGCCGTTACTGTCTCCTGATTTTTGGAGGAGTTGCCAGTCTTCTTGATTTGTAGTCTTCGAGTAAACACAAAATTGCGGGTTGCCAAACCTTGCGGAAAGAGAAATTAGTTGGCCGTGCAACCAGATTTACTTTTATTCTCTCCGCGCGTCTCTTATATAACATCATCTCTGCAAAGAGGGTACCGCCACGGTCCAGATGGGAGAAGCCATCGCAGTCGAACCAGTCGAATGCAGCATCCAGCACTTGAACAACATTGAATGAATGGAAATGATGGTAGCAAAATTCAAATTGCATTTTCCAAGCAGAACTACTTGCCAGAGTCCACCAACCCGTAGACCCTGCCGGACAATTCGATCAGCTTCAAGGTCTACAGCGCCTCCAAGAACAATCGCTTCCCAGGATCTGCTGCTGACTGCATTCACCACCAAAGGACTGCCACCCGCTGAAATCGGAAAGTTCCTTCTCCGGATTGGTCGAGTTTCCAAGCGTAACCGTGGCGGTGAATGCCATCATGAAGTGCAACCACAGCGCGATCGATCACAAATGCACAAAATTCCCGTTCATTATGAAGCTGTGCATGTGCTTCTCCTCCTCCAAGAAGATGAACGATGCGTGGAGCAACGAGAACATCGAACATCGACGGACCAGCAGCAGCATTGGAGCTGCATCGCTACTTCGTGCAGCCATGGCCGGAAACCTCGGTCAGGTCAAGATACCGCTGTCAGCTGTTCTTCGTCTGGGAGGAAAGGTGGATACGACTGCCGTCACGGGTGTAATGATTTTGAGAATCCATGGTGAAACTTGGTGGAGATTCACGGTTGTTGTGAAAATAATTTGACTAGGAGTGGCAACATCAATAACAAATTTTGACACATGCACACTGCGCAGGCACAGAAAAAGTTCAGTGTTGCCAATAACTTAAAAGATCATAAAAATTGTAACCATGGGTGCCAAAACAGCGTCAATGACTGCGCCCGGGTGTGCCCAAGTTTGATTTTGGCACACTGTGTAGAGTGACCAACCCCTTCGGTAGCAGCGAACATGTGAGCAATTTTTCATTCAAATCGTAAATTCTCTGATAATTCCAGGCTTTTTCCTGGAAAAAATAAACTTTCCTATTCCTATATTCTATTTAAATATGTCATCAAATTCTTGGGTCAGTATTGATTTAAAGACTTTCAGCTCCGTAAAGTTGTTTTTTAGCATTGAAGTCTTACCTAATAAATATTTTTTTTATGAGGTTCCAGTTAGCTTCCAGTATATGTGGGTGCATTTTGTCAGTTATTTTTGAAAGACTTTTAACAACCTTGCGTCAGTTTAATCGAAAAACAAATGAAGAAATGGTTACGTACTGCACGGACGAGCCTTGAACAACGGAGGACGGGAAGATTTTCTACCAAGGGACACTTGCATGCAATCTTCTACTTCTGGAATCCTATAAACAGCTATGGAGGGTACAATTAGAGCAATTTGACTGCTTTTGCAAAAACACAAACTAGACGGATGCAATTTTGGCTTGATTTCAGCGCGCCACGCAGCTTGGATGGTTCCCTTAGAAGATTTAGAATTTGAATCCCCAAGAGTAAACCAATCAAGCTTCAAATGGCACCAACCAGACAATCCCCCAAAATGTGCACCGCAGTCTAGTCTAAGACACCTAGCCTGCCTGAGTTCCTGGAAGAGATTAATCCGTTCGACGGTTAGCAAGGGAGGCAATAACGTTTTCGATTAGCATGAGAATGAGATTTCTTCTGTAAAGAAGTCTGCTTTCAACTCCATGATGGGACAACGTTTCAGGTGGGGTCTAGAAACCAAGGATTTTGGAAAATGTCAACCGATTGGGATCTGAAATCTAAAGATTGGGGCAGGTTTTCAACGAGGTTCAATTGGGGGTTTGAGGGGGGGGGGGGGGTTCTAAAATTCTCATAGTAAAATCGAAAACCGTACGACGGGATCCACCGAAGCCTCCTTCGCCGCTGTCGAAGCGGCCAGTTTCCTGTTCGTCTTCATCTTCTTCTCCTCCTTCCTTCACTGAATCTGACCCACCTCCAACGCTACCGTTTTGATCACCACCGTAACCTAAACTCTGGTCACCCTCTTGCTTGCCTCTACCGATAGCTTTTTCCGGCCCGGCGCCAAATCCATAATCCACCAAACCGGTCACATCATCATCCAAATCGCTTCGTGCAAGACCCTCGGTGGTACCGTTGCCGCCGTCGTTACCTATCTTGTGTATGATGTGATGCAGGTGCTTCTTGGGTCGGCCACCTTCGACGTCTTTGGTTGAGCCCTCCGAGGCGTAGCTGTGGGCGGTGTTAATGCAGTCATCTATTCAAAGCCCATACAAAAAAACAAACAAGGACTCACCTGTCGACACCGTCCGAGACAAATTCCGAAATGGTTGCCAGTCCTTCCTCGACCTGCGACATTAGGCTCGAGGGACTCTGCTTGGCTTGTTTGTCGTCATCTTTACTCAAACCTCGTTGCTCGGTACGTCGTTGGAACTCCTCATCGGCTTCCCCTGCAAGTAGATGAAAATAGACATTCGTTAAATGATATCGTCGTTCTCATTTCAGATTCCTGGTAGGAATGCCATCAATTTGCTCTGATTTTCCCCCCACGGTACTTAGTTTAATCTGACGGATCCCACACATTGGCCGTATCAGTGAAAGCCAGGATAATTGCTCTGCTCGGATAGATAAACCTGAATCACCAGACGTGGGCTATCTGGGTCAATCTTCCCTTTCAGGCCACGCGACCGGAGTAAACAAGTTCCCGTAGATTATCCGTATAGAGGAGGATGACACATATCGGAAACCACTCTTACTAGTCGACGTAACTCGTTTTTACAGTTTGATCTAATTACGATTACGTGTACCGAGGTGCGTAAGCGATGGGAGTTTCAGGTGAAAAATAAAGACGAAAACGGACTTGAACTTGACCAATGACCAACAGTGTTGAAGTACGGCAGTAAGTGGATCAGTGCAGTCTGGAAGAAGGGAAACCGGCTTTCCACCAGCTGATGAACTGCTGCTGCTGCTACTGCTGCATTCGTGTAATGCAACTGTTTTAATTACAGTGCTGACAAGCTCGGGTGCAACTCGGGTGCATGCAATGCACAATGTGTACAAATGCAAGTAATTGGAGCAATATGTTCGTTTGGTATGATGCTACCGCGGCTCGTCTCGGATTGTGGCTTTCAGATCGGTGAAATGGATTCAATCGATTATCATTGCAACGATAGTTGATGCATTTCTTGTTAATTTCTGTTATGCTTGGTCGCTAGTTTTTCGCCATTTTCCAGCTTTCGATGGTCTCATCCAGTTCATCGGAAGGTATCGGAGAGTAAGCCTTATTATCCAATTTTAATAAAATAGATTATTGATCAATCATGGAGGTGGATCATCCATTTGTTTGTTTTCTAGTGCATCCCACACGACAGAATTTGTTTTCAATATTTCCCTCAGTGTTTATCCTTAAAATTAGTTAAAAATCTAATTATGAACTGTTGTCCGAAAAAACAAATAAATGTACCGTAAAACGGGGTGAAGTTGATCATTAACACTCCGAAAACGATGCCTGCGGTAAAATGTGTAACGGCAAACTTGGAATGTTTGAATAATCATAACTCAGTCATTTATTGACGAATTTCAAATCTATTGGCGCCATTTGAAACTGCATACAATTTTTTTAAAAATCTATTGATAAATTGCTGAGCAGTGGTTTTATAAACATTGCCAATTTGACGTTGCACACTTTACCGGAGGCATCGTGTTAAGGTGAAGTTGATCACTACACCGTTTAATTTTCGTTTGTCTACAATCCATATTCATGATATTTTGATTAGTATTTCATTATGTATATTTAAATAGTAGAGGAAATGACGGCTTCGGCATGCCAGACTATTTTCGGCAACCCAAATTGAAGCACTATTTTCACTGGATTTTCTTACGAAAACACTTCGCTGAATGCATGCAAACGATTTTTTGACTAAATTTGACTATATTTTTACCACTGAGAAAAAGCAATCTAGCAAGGTTTTCTTGAAATGAAACACACGCACTACAAATTGTAGCTGATTGCGAGTTGCCGATAATAGAACAGCAGATTTACATGCAGTTCAAATGGAACGGCTGCCGAAGAAAAACTGGTTGCCGACAATACTCGCTCTCACTAGAGAAGATTGGACCTTTGTAAAAGCGTTTCAAAACAGTATTTGACAATTATTTCGACTGAAATTGTTAGAGCAGCTGGCAGCAAAAGATTGTAAACAAACCAATACTGCATATGTGTGCGTTCCTTAGAGAAAAAGGCTATAGAAAGAAGGTCGCTGCTTAGGTTGCCGAGAATATGTACTTCTGAAACGTTTTCCCTAACAAACGTTGCAACTTTGAGGATGTGATCAATTATGCAACTTTCCACTGTTCCTAAAAATCCTATCAGAATTAGCATTTATTCCATTGCAGTGTTTGACGAAATTACTAATTTAACATAATTTTGGGCCGTTGAATCTGAATTTGAAATCAGATCTCGTTAAAATGAAGAATATAGTATCATAAAAATAATTTTATGTGAAAAACTGACGTTAATTGCCTACATTTAGGCGTATTTTTTGACTACATTCAACTCTCCACAACTCGATATTCTATAACTTAAGATTTTCTATAACTCGAGGGATTCTGCAGTTCCTTCATTTCCCCATGTATCGTACTCGTCATAAGTCGACATTTCTACAAGTCGATGCCTCCTTTGGTCGATGATTTATGACTAAGTAGTGTGATATGTCAAAGGTAGAGCTTCTGAATTCTGTGATGTTGATGTTAACGAAAGATGAAGAGAATCGATCAAAATCACTTGCCCCCTGTTTCCAAGTTTGGTTACTCTGGAGAGCATTTTGTGTTGTCGTTGGGGGCGTGTGGTTCTGAATATGGAAAAACAGGCACAGATAAATTCTATTTCAACTGTTTCCTGTAATAAGCTTGTTGGCAAAGTTGGTGATGATTTAACCTCCGAAACCGTACAGAGTACGTCTGTCACTTCATAGCGTAGACGACATCCATGACCGCTTACGCTTGGCGTGTTCAGAGTAGGTGACAGCATCAGGGATCACATTTTCCAGGAACACTTTCAGCACACCTCGTAGATAAGACCTTTTCCTCCCTTGCCACGACCAGTCATTGTTGCTTGTTGGGTAGAATAGTGGATTACCTAACCTGCCACATACTTCCTACTGCAACTTCTGCTGCCTGCTCACCACGCCCTCCGAAGTGAAAATGAGTTGAGGCTAGACAGCAGTGCTCTTTTATATCTTTTCAGGTTAAAGCAGAATGATGTGCAACAAAGTGCTACCCGATTATGACGACTGGGTTTGGAAGAACGTTTATTTCATGAAAACAGTGATAACAGCATTGCTATTGATGCGTAGAAATATGTCTGATCGATTGGTGATAAAATTATTGAAATTGGTGCAGGGGCAGCTGAGATACTAATGTTCAAAATCTTTCATAATTTTGTTACATGTTCCAATTTCGGTTTTCACAAAGTGTGCCCCCATATAGCAATCACAGACGTAAGGGGAAAGCACTGAAAACGGTTCGAAATCGTCTGATTTCGCCGTTGATCATCGAGAAGCTGAGGAAAAGGTTCGGGATCCCGGAGATCCTGTCAACCAGATTGGCGACAAAGATCCAGCAGCTAGAGGGACCAAGCTCGGAGAGTTTGGAGTCGGTGATCGAGTTCGGAAGTGCCGTCGAAGAGTTTACCCAGCACTGGACCACTTGAAGAACCCAATTTTGATGCAGAGCCTAGTTCAAAAGCTGTTGTTGTACTATGGGTGAACTACAAGCGACGTGCCCAGTCTGTCGACATGGAAACATTCGGTGCAGAGAAGGCGTTGGAAGCAACCTTCGAGAAGGCAGATGCAAAGGAGAAGGGTAAGAAGCGAGATAAACCACAAATGAAGACTTTCGTTCACGCCACGGATGGAAACAGCGGCCGGTCTGGCAAGAATAGTGCGGTGTTAGCTGGGAAGAATTCGTCGCCCCTATCGCAGCGCCGAGAGCTGAAGTGTTTCGTGTGCCAGCAGTTTGGGCATTACGGAAGAAACTGCCAGGAATTGCTCAAGCAGAGTGTTGCAGAGCTCTGTTTACTCTGCCTGTACGACCATGGACAACGATCATGTCGTATAAGAGCTCGTTGCAAGGTAGATGGCTGTCTGGAGAACCACAATGCCTTTCTTCATGGTGGGCCAGCCGGATATTCGCGAATTCAGGTGCAGGTGCAATAGTCATCGCCAGTCGAAATGTGCAGTTCTGTTTAGGATGGTTCCAGTGACGCTGTACAACGGCAAGAGAAGGGTCGATACTTTAGCAATCATCGATGAAGGGCCTTCGGTTTCCATGGTGGACAGTGAATTGGTGGAAACGTTGGGTGCCGATGGACCAGTGGAACCACTGCAAATGACTTGAACAAACGGCATACAGCGCACAAAGTATCAGTCGAAGAAAGTGGTGCTTGAGATATCAGCCAGAGACTCGTCGAGTAGATACGATCTGTTGGAAGCTCATACGGTTCACAGAAGCTGGATTCAGCTAAGAGGGTCCAGGAGTTTGAGCACCTCGAAGACATCGACATTCCCAGTTACGAGAAAGCTGCACCGAATCGAAGAATCCGGTGAACCAGTTGCCATTTTGTGCAAGCTCGGCTGAACACCTTATGCTCCAAAACCAAACGTCATAGGAAAAGTGCATTTTCTGGGACACATTGGTGCTCGTGTGAGGAGTGCAGCAAAGCGGATAAGGATCTGGACGGGGCGATAAAGAAGCATTGTCAACTTGAAGACATCGAAGTATCATCTATTCGTTTGGAGTCGAAGGAAGATCGTAGAGCTCGCGAGATTCTGGAGAAGACGACTCGAAGAGTGGGTGGCAGGTTCGAGACAGGATAACTCTGGAAAGAAGAAGATGTTTGTTTCGGGAGAGTTTCGACATGGCCATGAAGCGGTTGCAAAGTTTGAAGGCTCGGATGAACCGGAATCCGGGGGTGCAGGAATGTTTGCAGAAGCAGTTGGAAGAATATCTTGCCAAGGGCTACGCGCATCGCATCACCGAGCAGGAGTTAAAGGAGACGCCGAAGAGTGAAACTTGGTACCTACCGGTGAACTACGTGGTACATCCGAATAAACCGGTCAAAGCGCGGTTGGATTGGGATGCGGCAGCGAAGGCTCATGGAGTGTCGTTAAGCTGTTGAAGGTAGAGATGTGCGATCCGCTTCCGAGCTGTTCTAAATACTTGATTCACTAAAGTGAGCTGATAGCCTGCGATTTAATTTTTAGGAACCGCAGCTCATCAACTCACTGATATAACAAGTCAAAAACATTCAATCCGTCACTTATAGGGGAACTTTTCAATTAAGGACTCCACACTCCACTTACGCATTGAACAGCCATCGCGTTAAACCAAGATGCGCGCGTAATACAACATGTGATCGATAGCATCAACTTGCATCAACTTGCTTTAATAC